AAAAAGATTACAATATGACCAATATATTTAAAAGTGAATAAGAATAGATAATGGTTAGTGATGCCCCAATTAAAGTCCTATTCAAAGGTAGAGACCACACCTGGAAGCTAACTGCTAGAAATATTAATGAACAAGGTCAAGGCCTTTTTCAAATGTGAAAGACCATGAGGTTCAACTCTCCAGCCAACTTCTTTGTCCCAAAGAATTGGGGAAATGGAAGGTGGGAGTGTACCCAGATGAGAGTCACAGGAAGGATTAAAACTCAGGCTAAAGGATGCAATCTATGGCCTCCATAGTTTTTCCAAACCTGTTTAGCATAGGTTTTCATCAATGCTTGTACCGAAAACCATAAAAGACCCTAAATTAGCACACCAAAATGGGATTTTCCTGCTATCAGTTTCCCTACCCTATGGTGGGACTTTTTCGCTTTTCACTAAATAAGTCCTATTCTGTTCTTTCCTACTGTTATTATCCATGGATTTTATTCTTTAAATTGCAAGACAAGAACCTAGAAAGAAATTGGTGAAGTCTCATATCAAAACTCCAGTTTCAAAAGGACATGCTGATTTAAGGCAACAGTTTTATATATTTGTTAATTTGACTATTGACTTACCAAGCTCTATTTCGATGGCTGTAGCAACAGATTTATCTACTTAGGGAATTCCATTTCAGAAGAACCTAGCCTGTTCCTGTGTTGGAAGGAAATTTGAACAGTTTGTGTAAAAGGTGTACATAAGGGCCTGATCATTTACATTCCTTGAGCTACCCTTCAGTCTTTGGTGTTTGGGACTTGTCCAAGTCACATAAGAAGAATTTTCTGGCCCACTGCTGACACAGAGGGAAGGAACTTGTAAAAGCACCACCATTTACCGATCCCAAATATTTCCTGAGCATAGGCCTTGCTTCAGTCATCAAATGAAACTTGATCAAAATTTATCCTTGATTGCTTTATTTTGAACTCATGTTTTTTGCTTCTGGTAAATACACTTTTTTAAAAAAAATGTTGCACACTCAAATTATATATTTTTGTTTTATCTGGTTAACAGATATTTCATTTTCTCTTTTTTTCCTCTGTGATTAAAAAAAGAAATTGGTTATTCAAGTTTTGCTAGCCTCATAGACTTTATGATGTAAATTTTCTACCTGATCTTAACTTTGAAAATGAAAATTAAAGAACACTATATATTTTTTAGTTGTCAATGGATCTTTTTATTTTATTTATTTATATGCGGTACTAAGGATTGAACCCAGGACCTCTCACATGCCAGGCAAGCTCTCTACCACTGAGCCACAACTCTAGCCCTGAAAATGCAAATTTAAGATTTACAGACATGCTTTCAG